ACTTCGAACGCGCACGAATACGGGGTCGTTCAGACGACCGAACCTCACGCCTGCTGTAGGAAGCATGGCATTCACGCGCGGACTCAGTTACAGGCATATCGAGCTTCCAGATGCCTCCTTTGCGTTGCGCGAGCAGATCGAGGGCAGAGGTCACTCCCAGCAGAACCGACTAAAATACACTGTGAGCTGTACGTTTTTTCATTCCTTGACAATGAGCTCTCGGGAGGGTTCGAAACGTCGGACAAATAAACCTCTGGTTCCAGAGAACTGTTTACCTTGTTCTATTCAGTTACCTGGGCCTCGCATATTCTCGACCATTCAGAATAGTATATTCAATGTCCATAGACATAGACCGAGAAAATAAATTAATTTCTAAGGAAAGTAAAAATCTGTGCTGCTAGTACGGTAACTTACAACATCACTTTATGCGATTGTCTGCCCATTGACTGCATGTGTATATTACGGGGTTATGCCATAGTGGCTTATGGTGTTTGGCCTAAATATATACATCACAATTCAGTCTTTGCCTATAGACCTATAGAGGACAGAAATTAATTTCTAATGAAATTAAAAAGTTCAACGAAAATGAATGCTCGGTCTTATGGAGTAGCTGAAGGGTGCGTAGTGAATTCTTCTACCTCTGTTGTCAGAGAGCATGCATGCTGGGATGTGATCCATGACTTGTAATTTTTAGTTTCAAGGTGTGAATCCAACCGTTCGACCGTCCATTTCGACAATGTTTACCGTATGCTCCACAGCAGGGTGGTCCAAGGACGGTGAGTGGCTTGCGAATAGCTTTAATTGGCAGTAGACCAAGGCCGCCCCACTTTCGACTTTAATTTGGAGAGCGCAAACCGAATAGCGCCTGTCGTACCCTGATCTGGCCCCATGTTGGCCAAGCGGATCTATCACGCGGCCCGTTTAGAGAGCACTCAAGGACCCAATAGCATGTCTCTCTGAACCACTTATATCTTTTTTTAATTGACTCCATGGAACGGCATGCCAACTGGCCGAAGAAACTCAAAGATGTACTACGTGTTACTTGAAAATTAGAATCCTAGTATCTGTAAGAGAGTCTATTAGAGGCAACAACAAATAACGCAAAATGGTTTTACGTACTTTTCAACGGCATGTTCAAATTCCTCGGCGGCTTGAGTGGAGGAGAAACCGTAGTATTTGCCTCTCCACCTGAGTATACCAATGCTTGGTGTACAGGGAACAAGGAGGCCCCTATAGCGCACAATTGACCAGGCACAAAATCCCTGAAAGTTGAAGTTTAAAACGATTGTTAGATGTCAAACACAGCATTCCAATACGGCTTGAAACCTCTTCGCTATGTGGGCATACATTTGTGCTGCATAATCTGTTAAAAAATGCCCACCAAGTTAAAGTAGGTGGCCAGCAAATTGGCGGCTCTTAGGAGGGTGGAAGCGTTACTCAAAGATAATCCAGCAGTTAACGAGAATGATTTGTCAGGCCAAGTGACGGGGGAGGAGTGTCGTTTTCTAGTTGAAGACCAGAAGGAAAGTTGTCACGATAGTATTGCGATGGGGTTTCAGGGGATGGAAAAGGGAACTATGGTCAATATTCGCGAACCTGTAGAAAACGATAGTAGTCTGTTTGGAGCCCAGTGGGGAAAATAAGCTACACCTGACTGCCATCATAAGTCAAAAATAACTAATGTGCTATACTACTACACTTTACATTAGGGCCAGGCATCCGAATTATCTTGCGAACGAACAGAGGACAGCCCTAGCCAGCGCAGTCATCAGCCATCGATCCGATCTGGCAGTTCGATCGTCACTATATCCGCTGCCAAACCCACTGAAGGGTTCGTACAGGGGACGGTGATAGGCGCGTGATTTAGTTTATAGTAATAGTCGACATGCGCAGCATTTAACACCCACACAATCTCTCTTTCTTGTTTCACCCCCCTGGACCTCGTGTCATGAAAGAGTTTAAAAGATCGGAGGCGGGATCGTGCGCAAGTGGCTGGCGCGCCGTGAGACTGCGCCTAGGCGTGCTACCACAGGTGTGCATCCCCCAATAACGCATGCCGTGCCCTGATCAGATTTTCTTGTTAGTCCAGCGCATCCACCATTTTTTGGTTATCTATTGGATACCCATTGCGTTCAGAGAAGAAGCTGTGTTTGAAAAAAACAACCTGTTAAATAGGCCGGCTTTCGCGTCTGAAGACTATGTAGTTTCATAATAATAACAAAATTCGGCTGCCAATTTCATGAACATGTTTCTGCTTATATCCAAAAAACAGTAATAATATATTACTTCTTTGTTTTATATTCCGCACTTGACTATAAATGATGCCTTAGAGGAAATAAGAGGGACCTTAAACAGTTCACGATTTCCAAAAGAAGATTACTCTTATGCTTACTTGTAGATCAATCCTTATGCGATCCTTAAGTTTAGGATAGATCCACATATGTTCGGCTCCTGGGGAGGGCTCAGCCTTGCCCACATTGGCCTGGATAAAATGTAAAAAGAATAATTCATCCAAAAATGACCAAGTAATAATTTTGGATTAGTCGAAATATTTCGTTTCAGTTTGTGCTATATAAAATCTCTAATTAACACACTGCAAATCCATGGTTGGCCAAGCTGCTCCTGTAACCTTGTAAACAAATGGCGAACGAGAAGGACAACTTGCCCCTTGGCATTGAAGGATCGGGTCTAAAGTGGATGCAGGTCGCAGCATAACGACGGGAGCCATCATGGACTCAGTCAAGTGATGCGGGAAGTCCAGTTGAGTTTCAACTGTCGTCATCAATCAACGGCATTAAAAATTCAGACACTAAGTCTATAGTGTGGATTGAGTTAGCGGGTCATTGGGTATGCTTGAAGTCTGCTTGAAATTTCCAAGAGGAATCAATCTCACTTGCGCACTTCTCCCACGCTGCATGCCATGAACGCGCGATCGGGAGCGTCCCCCATTGGTTGCGGCCACTGTGCTCTGATTGATCCATATCTCTGAGAATTTGCTCGACCCTTCAAGATCTTTATTCTTAAAGCAAATTGGACAGAATATTCGCCAACTTGCAGGGGAAGCTATAAATCCACACGACGGGCTTCGTTGAGAAGGACTTGCGAATTTTAATACACCCTTTTTCTGACCGATTGTGCTTTGTTTATCCAACCTATTTTCCACTAGCTCTGTAGAGAATACACTATTCCTCCCACTTGGCGTCTCACTTTTTCTCTCCCCACACGGAACCGGGCCTGAAGATCGCAGCAGCAAGGGTCTTCCCTCTAACTGAAACCATTACGATATTTGTGACGGCGACACGATCTGAAATCACAACTGCTTGACGATTTGAGCTTTATCATCACAAAACATCCTTGGACTTCAACTGAATTTTCCTGTCTTATCTGATGTGGCCACGATATTGAGAAGTTAGTCACCGACATTCTGTCGTGAAGGGAGATTTTGGTCCTCCAACATTCTGAACTCATCGACTCCGGGCCATGGTTTATTTCCAATCCACCAGAGCCGTCCCTCTATGAGTACCAGCAACAGGACCTCCTTCCCAACATCCGATATAACCTCTACCACCAGTGGTTTCCTTCCTCACTCCAAGCAACTAATACTGACATGGCATACAGAGTTGCCGTC